TCACTCTCAATTAAGAGCCAAAGTCAAGTCAGGAACTTCCTAACAACAAATCTCTTCACAAAGCATCTGTGCTATGCTCAATTGCTGTGAATGAAAACCTGCCTGTCATCAAAACTTCCAAACTGTGCAGAAAGAGAGCACAAATAGCAACAATTTCAGCAACAGAATTTGAACACCTAGATGTTTTGACTCTGCTAGAACCTGCTGTGCCCCCCTATACCACCCCTTTCAGCCTTTACTTTCAGATGAGATTATTTAAAAAAAAAATCGTAGAAGGCAGTAGTTACAGACATCCAGTCTAAAGCTCAATACATCCCTCCCAAAATACGTGCCCAACAATTTAAGGAGAATTAAAAACCTGTTTCTTAGCTAGTGCTTCTTCCTTTGTTCTTACTTACTGCCAGCTGTTAACAAATGGCCATCATCTGTAAAATATTCTAACGGTGTTAAGGATACATCTTAAATCCAACAAAGTGAGCATGTACTAGAAATGCTTTTAGGGCTCAAACGCCACCTTAAAACACCCTGCTTGTATTGATTAGGTGGGAACTGTAGAGAGAGCTTTCAGTGTTACTAAAAATATCCACATGGTGTTTTGAAGACACAGGTTTTTTTCCAGTTGTGTTACCTTCTTTGCTCCATGGATTAGGGAAATGAGGAGAGTTAAGAGATCTGCTAAAAGACAAGAGTTGTTGGTTCCTTATTATTTTTCAGGGTGCATTTTATGCCACAATAAGATACTGATATATTCAAAAGCAACACTGAACATAGCCCTCCACATAACTATAGGTCAAGGACTTTTTTGCAGATGTACTTCAACAGCAACAAGTGGGCCAGACAGTGCGCACGGAGGGGGAAAGGGAAGTCGAATTTGTATAGTAATATTGATATATCAGCCCTGAAACAGGTGTTGGGATGACACAAGCTCACAAAACTTTATTAGATGTGTAAAGACATGATTCCACAAGGGTACATGGGACCAGAACCCTCTGGCTTGAGGTGGACGAATCTTCCAAGCCTGCATCACATTTTGGGGGAACAGACGCACCACAGAGCAGGCTGCAGCCCACAAACTCCTACCCTTTCTTTTGGGCTGCACACAATTACACAGACACATCATGATGAACACAACAACTACTGGACTGGGTACACATGACGCCCTGCTCCTACTGGCTTTACACCTCCATGAACTGAGCACATCCACACAGAGAGCAACAGAGGCAGGAATAACTGCATGGGATAACCATGGTAGTAAAGAACTGATCCCCACGGGCTGGAGGGAAACAACCTTCTCACCCATCTTCCCACGGGGCATTTCCTGGGCTCTGAAGGGCCCTCCACACTACCCGGGGCTAAACGGCAGAGGGTCGACCCTTCCACCCCACACCTCCCTACAAGTCCTGCAGCTGCTCCAGGTGGGTTACACACGCCCCTGGGAAGGGAAGCCCGCCCAGGCACCGCAGGGTACCTGAGGATCCCTTCCCTCCTCTCAGGGGAGAGGCCTGGGCGCGCCGCAGCCCTCAGCGCGGGAGCGGGCACGCCGCTCCCCTCCACCTGTCGGGCTGGCGGACAGCGAGGAGCCCCCGGCAGCCCAAGGAAAAGGCCGCCCAGGAG